TTTTAGAATGTTGTCAAATAGTATGGAGCGAAATACATATTTGGGGCTAGATAAAAGTTAGAACACATCACCAGACTTCTTATGCTGCCATCGTGTAATCAGTCGAAGAGTAGGCGAATTACTGAGATGTGACATCGGGACCATTTATAAAAAGAAAATAACACTTTCCTCGGCAATGCTTTCTTTTCGAGAATACATTGACCCTGTTTCCAGAGCGGGCTGTTACAAGATCTCGGGTTCATGTGGTAGTGCCTATGTGGGAGAGACTTGTAGGCCAATACCTAAAGGTTATTCAAGCAAAAAACAGCCTGCAAGGATATGTGGGTCCAAAAATTGACATATGGCCCGCGCAGGACACCAGGTAGATTGGTCTGATGCCAAACGCTTAGCTGGATATGGAAACTATACCAACCAGTAAGCGAAAGATTAAGGAGGCGATAAAAATAAACGAAACAGCCAACACTCTGAATAGAAGGAATGAGTGTGGGAAGTTAAGCGGAAACTAGTTGTAGATGCTGAATATGCTTAAAAACAGTGAGTAAGCGAGAGAACAAAAGTACCACCGAGCACGAAGAGGCTTGATTAGGCTCGAATCTGGTTTTGACTCTGGCATCACATTCATTTTAAGAGCACTACATTCACACAACATGCGCACCCTTGGACGCAATCACATGTGGCAACATTGCAGCTGTTCGGTTACAAAGGTACCCGTTTCACGCTTCATCTGCATCTCTCCACATGTCGTCGGCAGCTACTTAACTTATCTTAACTTTTGGGCAAACATTTAGGATATTCAACCAAACATAAATGCCTAAGTGGACCAAATTGGGCCGACCACATTTATAGCCTTTGTCTTTGACAAATTATCGCTAAACATGGTGCCCTGCTCTGACGATTTCCATCACAGAACGGATGAAAGCTCAACAAGGATTCATCGGGGTCGCAAGACGGCGCGCCGAGGACCTATTCGCATAAATCAACATTCACAGCTCCAAGACAATCCCTCTACAGCTCCCGGTAGAACCAATTTACGAATCCTTTCCACTCGTCTCTCCAAACGAAATGCAATGTACTTCGACGTCAATTTATTAAGGCAGTGGTTCCCAAACTTTTCCTATGATGTTATCCCGTGGTCAAGCATGTCATCAGTCGCCTCGCCTTGAGACAGATACGAAAAATACACACAAACACATATGTGCGCACACTGGTGGTCATTTTGAATGCTACAATCTTCAGGACATTTACTTTTCTATTCTGATAGGCTTGTCTCGGTGATTAAGACAACCAAATTGCTACAAGCTTACAAGAAAACACCCGTAGCGGAAATTAGGGAACTTCAAAATGATGTTAAATAACATTATTTTTAGAGAACTGTCGAAAATTAGAGCGAAGACATTTTTACCATGAAGCATTCGTTGACTGAATCAAATTATCCTCCCACCATATAAAAAGGCTAGAACTCAACCGAAAGTTATGTAAAGTAGCAACACAAGCTTGAATCTCGTAAGTCAGTGGTTCCCAAACTTTTCCTAGTCGCGGCGCCCTTTTTCCACTAACATTTTTCCATGGCGCTCAACTCTAAGTATGACTACTCGTAAGTAAGAGATAAATATAAATAAAACTCGTGTATATTAATTATTTTTTTTAACTTTATTGACATTAAATTAATATATTAATAATTGATGTGATGGATGAGCCTGCAAATCACTGCACATTTTCTCAAATTGAAACCTTTACAATATTTCGCAGCTCCCTGGGGTGCTGCGGCGCACAGTTTGGGAATCACTGT